GAAAAGATGCTTCGGGAAAGACTGCAAAGACCAGGGCCGTATGCCGCCATGCTCTGCAGGGCAATGATCCCAGAGTACTTGCTTCTCTCCTGGCGCGGAAATGTTTCCTACTACGGAGGACCCAATAAGGCCGCTCTCCCCAGGAACCTGATGCAAAGGCTTTCCAATACCTCCAGGAGAGCTTCATGGAGATGTCAATGAAGGATTTCAGCTCTATCCCCGGACACATAGACCGGATTTTACTGTAGCTGCACTGGCAGGGACTAAACAGTGGAACGGCTTGGGCAGAACAATCATGCTACACCGGACATTGCTTGATTTTTTTAAGTAGTTGCACTGCCAGGGAGTGAACAGTTAAGCGCCTAGGGCAAAGTAATCATGAAAAACCCATTCTTAATATTCCTGTTCTGTGAAAAATAAATGTTTACATGTTTAAAACACTTACTGGCTGATCCTTTCCCTGATTCTGTGTCCGGGTTAACGGCTGGGGACGGTTGGTAGGGGATCTCTGTAAGGGTGATGAAGAGATCCTGGCTGTCGGGGAAATCAGCGTTGTAAGCGCTGTCGACTGCCTCGTCCTCCTCATCTCCTTCCTCATCTTCCCTGTCCGCTACCATGTCCGAGGAACCGGCCGTCGACAATATCCCATCCTCAGAGCCCCCGGTCAGTGGTGGGATAGTGGTGGCGGCCGCACCTAGGATGGAATGCAGTGCCTCGTAGAAACGGGATGTCTGGGGCTGGGATCTGGAGCGTCCGTTTGCCTCTTTGGTCTTCTGGTAGCCTTGTCTCAGCTCCTTGATTTTCACGCGGCACTGCGTTGCATCCCGGCTGTATCCTGTCTCTGCCATGGCTTTAGAGATCTTCTCAAAGATCTTTGCATTCCATCTTGTGGAGCGCAGCTCGGAAAGGACGGACTCATCGCCCCACACAGCGATCAGATCCAAGACTTCCCGATCAGTCCATGCTGGGGCCCTCTTTCTAGTCTGAGATTGCACGGCCATCTCTGCTGGAGAGCTCTGCATCGTTGCCAGTGCTGCTGAGCTCGCCACGATGTCCAAACAGGAAATGAGATTCAAACTGGCCAGACAGGAAAAGGAATTCAAATTTTCCCGGGGCTTTTCCTGTGTGGCTGGTCAGAGCATCCGAGCTCGGACTGCTGTCCAGAGCGTCAACAGAGTGATGTACTGTGGGATAGCTCCTGGAGCTATTAGCGTCGATTTCCATCCACACCTAGCCTAATTCGATATGGCCATGTCGAAGTTAGCGCTACTCCCCTCGTTGGGGAGGAGTACAGAAGTCGAATTTAAGAGACCTCTATGTCGAACCAAATAGCTTCGTGGTGTGGACGGGTGCAGAGTTAATTCGACGTAACGGCGCTAAATTCGACATAAACTCCTAGTGTAGACCAGGCCTAGGAAAGCTAAAGCAGAAGTTAATATACCCCAAAAATAATAGGAGGACCATGTGTATTTCTCACAGATAATCCTGACAGAGTGTTGATGGAAAAGAAAGATTGTTTAAAGCAGGGGTGAAAGTACCTTAAAAGACCTACCGGTATGCTGGAGTCCTGAGCGGGGGTGTGGCCTCAACCGGATGAGGCGGGGCTTTTCAAGATTTAAAGGCCCTGGGGCTCCGGCTGCTGCGGGGAGCCTCGGGCCCTTTAAATCCCCGCCGGAGCCCGGCTGCTGCGTCCCCGGGGCTCCGGGAGCTGGGCTTGGGCAGGGATTTAAAGGGCCCGGAGCTGCGGCCCCTGTGGGGAGCCCTGGGCCCTTTAAAGTGCCGCCCGAGCCCAGCTGCCGGAGTCCCGGGGCCCCGGCAGCCGGACTCGTGCAGGGATTTAAAGGACCCGGGCTCCCCGCAGCGGCCGGAGCCCCAGGCCCTTTAAATCGCTGCCGGAGCCCTAGGGCTCCTGCAGCCGGGCTCAGGTGGGGATTTAAAGGGTCCGGTGCTCCTGCAACTGCAGGGAGCCCCGGGCCCTTTAAATCACCGCCAGAGCCCTGCCGCTGCTACCCCGGGGCAACGGCAGCAGGGCTCCAGCAGTGATTTAGAGGGGCTCGGGTGGCGCTTTAAAAGGCCCGGGGCTCCCCGCAGTGGCTGGAGCTCTGGGCCCTTTAAATCACCGCTGGAGAAGCCGGTCCAGTTCGGCACGGCGTACCGGACTGGACTGGCTTACTTTCACCTCTGGTTTAAAGGTAGGTGAATCCGGTTTATTTTATCACAGATCAACTAAATCAGTTTATGAATAGACAATGATAAATACTATGAAATTCAGTAACTGAAAGGAGAGCTTTTATTCAGTCATTTAAAATAACCCACTTTAATAGTATTTGCTTAAAATCTCAATTTAAAATCTCTTTTAAACCCTCACTTCATTTAATGAGTGATCTGTGACAGGTAGTTAATTAAAATTGAGGACAGATCCTCAGTTATAAATCAGCATAGCTCTATTGAAGTCAATAGTACTATGCTGATTTACATCAACTGAAGACCCAGTCCAAGGATCTTAAATTAAAAGGTATAGCTTGGTCAGCAATACCAAGAATATGGTGTTCAGGTATTCAGAGTTTAACGGAAGAAGCTATTAATAAACGTCAAGATGCAACAATATGTCAATAGTGAAGTAAAATAAATGTCAGTCACAAAATTAACGTAAACCTTGTCAGTGTCTATGCAATACTGCATGCATCAACTGAAACTTTAGGGTTGGTGATGGAATCTTGCAGGGTTTACTTTTTCTTCCTAGCTTTTGGGTTCTTGCTGTTCCTTGCTGTGGGCTGCAGGTACTGCTGGTTTTGCTCTGAACATCTCTCATTCTGTAATGCGTTTCTCTGTCTTTCTTCACTGGGTGTGTTTAGTCCTCTGGTGTGGAGTTAGTGTCCGTGTTGTAAATTGCAACAGATGTGAAGGCAATTTTTAACCACTTTCTCAAAGTTAATACATCTCTTAAGAGATTTTGTTAATCACTTCTTTACTGGTTTATCGCCGTATGTGCTGGACTCAGTCGCCTCTTTGGCTCATGCCTATGTAATAGGATTCATCAGTTCATGTCAACATTTGTAATGCTGTATCTTGATAAAAATGGCTTTTAAGATCTCTTTGAATACCTAACATTTGTCTTCAGTCCATTTTCTGAATGTCAGTTTAGTTCCAAAAATATTTGGGTACTTGATGGGCTTTTTTGAACGAGTATAAGCATGTAGGGATAGAATCCCAGCTGGTTTAAATCAGCATTACTGAGTTGTTATTAGTCTACTATTAAAATAGTCTCTCCAAAATGTAGCTTCTTATATGAAACCATCTTTCAGGACCGTTTTTGCATCTTCCTAAGTATGGTGAGTTAGTTGCATTAGAACAGCAATTAATTCCCCTGTTAATATAAATATCTGTTTATTCAAGCAGCTTCTGAAGTTTTCAATAACAAAAACTCTAAGCAGATGTAACATAAAATTTTGGTACTGTGTTTTTAGCTAGAGTATGTCATTTTCTACTTTATAATTCCTTAATACTGTTTAATGAGGAATGCTTGTTTTTAGAAATGAAACACTTGCAATCAAAAGAATAACTTACAAATCATCACGGACAACACAAAGTAGTACAAGTATTATGGGATAAATAGAAAAGGTTTTCTGCTTTAGTTAAAGGTATGAGCTGACAGTAAACTGTAGCGTGCTTTTTCTTATCTTTAATATTCTGCTTGTGTGTTTCTTTTTTAATTCTTATAAAAGTAAGGTTTTGCAAATTAATCATTGCTCAATATAAATTTTATTCTAGAATAAATCCCAAATAAGAGAAAGTGTAATGTACATTTTAAATAGAGATTTTTCAATATAAGAGGAAGGGATGAGAGAGCCCAGTTCTGTGATTAGATTGCTTGGTTGTTCGCTGAGAGAACAGTTTGCTATGTATTTTTACTCCATTTAAAATGGTATTTTGGGTCAAACCCAGTTCTCCTTAAGAAAGTGAATTCGTCCTGGTAACTGTTATTTTCTTTAATTAAGATTTATGCCCAGACAGTGACATGTTGACAGTACCTTCACATTTAAAAAGAGGCGTGTCTGTTTTGCCCTGAATGAATTTTGGCCTCTTTAATGATTAGTTCTGAGTTTGCAATGAAATAAGCTATAGCAAACATTTTACAAAATACAAAGTTGTAATAAGTAAAACGTATTAATTACTCCTTCATAATACAATATAGAATAAAGAAATACTGAACATTTAGAAGACTAGCTAACTGTAATATTTTTACAGACATAGCTGTTATTTTACATAACAAAACTTTGACTAGTGTCTGTTCTCTTATCACCTAAGATACAAAAGTTAAAACAGGAGGAGGCCAGGGAAGAATTCCAAATAAACCTCTTATGCTGGTTATTTCTCATGCTAAAGAAAGATGCTATTCCTCCTTTGACAATTTAAGGGTTTGTGTCTATTAGGATTCATTCTGTGCTATATTGGTTTCGTAATTTGATTATTGATTGTGTTCATGCAATAATTTGGTCAGGTAAGTTATTAATACCAGTTTATACTGTTGTCAGTTCCTTGATTAATTCATCTGATCTCCATTATAACCTCAATTTGATTATTGCGTTGTTTAGTGTCTTAGGGAAGTGTAGCAAATTAATTAGGTTTATATTTGCTTGTTTAATTTCTCAAAAAATTCATAAAAAGTACACCAAATTTTCTCTCAAGTGGCTGTGAGGTCCAAACAACCTATAAAAATATGAGCCCACTGACACACTCCTGAATTAACCCCCATTACCACTACAATACAATACACTATCAGACATATTCTTGTGCTTATTTCTTAAAGCCTATGTTTTATGACATGTCATAGAACTAACCCAGGTAATATAAATTTTTGTCATTTGCATCCATTTTGAAGATTTTTGTCATTGCATAACCTTTGCTAGGCTTCAGTAAACAAGTGTTTTGGAATGTTTACATATTTTTTTTGCTGCTGTATTATGTTGTCTAAGTACTTTTTTTTTTCTTTCCCTTAGCCGAGCAAAAGATGTAACAATGGCAGCGAAGGTTCCAGTTAATTTCTTCTCCTCAAGATCTCCAGTCCTTGATCTTTTTCGGGGGCAACTGGACTATGCAGATTACATTCGCCAAGATTCTGAAGTTGTACTGTATTTTTTCTATGCCCCATGGTGTGGACAGTCCATTGCAGCAAGGGAAGAAATTGAACAAGTGGCAAGCAGGTTGGCAGACCAGGTAATTCCAGTAAAGATGTTGATTAAAAAATGGCTTAGTTGGCCTTCATTCATTTCCAAACACTGCCTTTCTCTGAGCGTCTCATGGGAAGTCAGTGGGACCTGGATGCTTATGTTTAGCCTGTCCTCTTAATTTTTAAATTAAATGCAGAAAAGCCATGGTCCCCATTCTCTCACATTTGTGTTTATTCCCACTTCTAGGAGGGAAACTGTGTGAATTTCAACAAGTAGAATTTTCTCATTATTCTTGAAACGGGGCTGGGGTTGCCTTTGTGCAGAAGTGGCAGCTCCTAACGTCCCAAACGCTTGAATCCTATGGGATCCACTGGCGGGATAGGCATCCATATAGAGGTCCCTCTGTCTTTACACTGCTGCCCAGCTTCTGGACGCTTCATGCCTACAGCTGTCTTAAAACTCCTATCAGTGGGTTTCATGCCACAGCATGGGAAATGAGTGCAAATGAGACTTAGGGCTTTGTCTACACTAGCACTTTTGTTGGCAAAACTTTTGTTGGTTGGGATGTGAAAAAAACACCCCACTGACCGACATAAGTTTCACCAACAAAAGCGCCAGTGTGACTAGTGTTATGTTGGCGAGAGATGCTTTCTCGCAGACATAGCTACGGGCACTCGTTGAGGGTGGTTTAATTATGCCAGCAGGAGAGCTCTCTCCCGTTGGCATAGATCGACTACACAGAAGAGCTTACAGCAGCACTGCTGAAGCAGTAGAGCTGTGCTGCTGTAAGGCCTGTAGTGTAGAACTGGTAACTTGGGCTCACGTGCGCCTTAATTTTGGGGGGAAGGGTGAGAGAGTGCTCTGGACTTTTTCTGAAGGGTTTTAATCATGCGTGTGTGACTGAAACAATCTCCCAAGTGCATATTTTTCTAGAGGCAACCTCTGTGCCTTCAAGATGGTGGAGAAACAGTGTGGTTCTCCTATTCCCTAGAGAAGTCACAAAGGAGGTTTCATTATGAGGAAGGGATTTTGGACATTTGTTTAATCTTTCAGCATACTAAGCCTTGAAAATTTGAGCTCCAAGAGGTGAATTTTTCCTGAAATGAATATCATATGAAAAGAAAGAAGTGGTTTAAAATGGAAACCTTGTTTAACCTTAACTATAATGAACAGAACCAGGTAAACACAATGAGGGCCTGGTCAGCTTGACTGAAAACCAGCCAGTGATTGAGTTGGTTATGTGCAAAACACCTTTTAATACGTACTAACGTCTTCTTACGTATGCTTCCCTTCCAGTTGAGTGCTGTTTCTTCTATTTTTTTTTTTTAAGTTTAATTACTACCTTTCTACTCTGCTCAGAATGGTCTAGAAATGAGTCACCATTTCTAAATTTACTTAAACTGAAAACAACATCAATACCTAAAATCCAATTCCTTCTTGCTTTGGATCATTCCCTTTCTGCCTTTCCAAACATCAAGAGAGAGGTTTTTTTTTTGGTTTTTTTTTTAAAGAGTATATTTCACCTTTTTGGAAACTTCAGTTGGTGCTCCTCTGAATCAGTCAGGTTGTTTGACCAGTTATAGAAGTAAAAAACTAGCGCACAACATTTTTCAGAAAAGAAACAGGAAATCACATACCACATCTATTTTGGATTTTGGTAATTATGTTTGAAATTTTTATTTGATACAGTTAATTATTAAAGACCAATCAAGAATGGCATAACGTACAAACACAGTGAACAGTCTTTGCCCTGAAGAGCTTACAATCTAACAAGACAAGACAAAGAGTGGGAGAAGGTGTATAATAAAAGAGTGCACATATGATGGCAGCAAATGTTATGTCAGTTTCTTGATTTTTTTTATTTTTGTTTTATTTTTATTTGTGTGTGTGTGTGTGTGTGTGTGTGTGTGTGTGTATGGATTTAGTTAGGAGAAGATAAGATAAATGGAAAGAAAAGTGAAGAGAGAGGGGACATAGCAGGGAAAGGTAGAGGGGAATAGAAAAGAGGGTAAGAGGGGCAGTTGTGGAGTGAACCTGAGATGAAGGGATTTTGGAGGGCAGGGGAGGAAGAGGGTTGCAGCAAACAGCCGATCGGCATAGGGTAGAGAAAGTTGTGGTGATGTGTTTTGAACCTTTGGTCTGTTCTGCAGGTGCTGTTTGTGGCAGTTAACTGCTGGTGGAACCAGGGGAAATGCAGGAAACAGAAACATTTCTTTTATTTTCCTGTGATATATTTGTACCATCGGAGGTAAGTTTCACAAATACGATTTATCTGCATTTTAGATTGCTGGTAGACAGAACATCATAGAAATATCAAGAATGTGGTTTGTAATACAAGGGCTGCAGGCTGAAGTTCATCCCTGTGCAGAGGCCCAGTAGAAAACCTATGAACTACTTACACCCCCACAGGGCCTGAATGGGATTTAAGTGACTCATAGGCCTTGTGCTGCCCTTTGCTAAAGCCTGCCCATTGTTTTGTCCTTAGGCAAAATTCCCATTGACTTCAATGGGAGGTTTGCCTCAAATGAGGATTCAAGAATTTGGACCTATATTATTTGTTTTATTTTTAATATTTCCTGCTTACTTTGGGGGTGGGTAGCATCATTTGGTCTCAATTCAGGAAAGCACCCCTCCTGGGGACAGCACTTATGTGCTTAAGTCCACTGAAGTCAGTGGGATTTAAGCATGTACTTAAAATTAAGCAGATGCTTAGGTCTTTTTCTGAATTGGGGCCTCTACCAATGTTATGCTGTGAAAGTTTGGCATCCCTAGTGTCCTTTTATATCTTTTCTTTTTTTGATTTTTGTCTGAACTTGAAAATAAGGCACTGAGCACATTGCCTGACACTAGTCTCAGTGGAGGCAGGTGCTGTGCAGTCTCCCACATACATTTCTACCTGTGCGCCTTAGTCCTGCACTGTGGCTCCCCGTCTTTTCCAGTCCAGCATTTCTCCCTTGAGTAGTCAACTAATCATGAAAACTGTGCAACATTGTGGTTTTTGCGCATGTTTACTAATGCTTCAATTCTCAACTCATTTTATGTAGATGAGGGGAGAATGCTGAAATTTGCTGTCAGCTGAAATTCAGGGCTTGTCTACATACACAGATTGCACTGATATAACTTAAAACAGTATAAGAACTGATTTAGTTAAATCAGTGCAAACTCTGAAGTTGACACACATCATTGATTGATCTTGAGTCTGTAAATTTATCCATACAAACTAATCAATATAAGCCAGGTTTAAATTGATATGAGGGTCCACGTAGAAAGTTGCACCAGAATAATAAAAGGTTTACAACTGATTTAGTTATTTCAGTTTGTATTTACCAGCCCTCAGATAGTTACATGTTAAGCTCTAAAGCATATTTTCCCACCAGTATGATTTGGATTAGTGTGGTCTTTGTACTTAGGAAGGCACTAAATTAATTAATGTAGCAGATTTTTGCTTAGACTCTTAATTTTATGTATAAATGTGTGTTTAAAAATAAAATTCCCAAACAAACAACACACACCACTTTACAGGTTTATAGACTAGTGTGCTTGAATTGCTTATGCTGTGTGGATGGACTCCTCTACCTCTCCCAAGGTGTCGAACTTCTAAAATTGTATATTGTGCATGCAGAGTAATATTTTTCCATCAATTTTTGTGACCTATGCATTCAATAATAATGTTCCTGTGTGTTGATATAATGCACGTTGCTAACAATCCAAAGAGCTGTAATAATACCAGTTGATACGATCCAATGGAATGCCTCTGGACCAATTCGATCTATATGAATACATGGTATTTTTTAATGCAGAGTAATATTTTTCTTATAATGTTATATATATTACATATAAATATGTGCAAAACTACATCAAGGTTCTAAGTGACTCCCACAGAGGGAATGTGACTGAGAGAGTTAAGACTACACTTTATGCTTTAATTTGATTTTATGTACTACACCTAACTTTCTTTTGATTGATTTATTTCATTGTGCAGTGTGGTGTTAAATCTAATCAGATGGCAGTTAACAGATTCCCACTTGTAAAAGCCTACTTCATTCTTGCATCATTCATGTGTGATGGAGTAGCAGTGTTTGCACCTGTCTAGTTTAATTCTTTGTTTTCTTTTTTAATCCTCAAGGATTTTTTAAATATATATTTTTGCTGTTGTGTGTCTATTGAGGTGTATGGACAAAGCAGAACGGCCTATCGCTTCACATGCTAATTAGACCATTTTGTAACTTTTGCCTGTCTTTTATCACCTTTTTTTTTGACAAGACTCAGAGGTTGTCTTAATTCCCAGATCCTTACTGTCACGCACAATCATAGGCTCTTTATCGGAGTCTCTGTTATTTCAGTAGGTAAATTCTTAATGGGTCTCCCTTCTAGTCCCTTAACACTGATACTCTCTCAGTTACAGAAGTTACTCTTAATCAGCACTAGGAACATCCTCTGCTCTCTAGGGACTGAGTATGGTGTCTGTGTATTACTCCCAGCCTCTGCCATCCCAGCCAGGGACTCCATTGTTAATTTAGTGGTCGCAGCTTAACCTTCAAATCTTAATGTATTATTATTTTTTTGGTACTAGTTTTGGACCAATTGAATACAAAGGCCCTATGAGTGCTGTTTATATTGAAAAGTTTGTTCGCCGGGTGATGACACCACTACTCTACATCTCGTCTCGATCAAAATTACTAGATTTCCTCTCAAATTATGAGGTACTTGTCTCTCTTGTCTAGTTTTACCATTTGTGGTTCTGAAAGGGTTTGATTTGTTTCAGGATTAAATCTGACCTTCTCCAAATCAGTAGGTTCTTTCAGGGTCTCAGAAACCTGCAGTGCATCTCAAGTGTTGTTACAATTATAACACATGTGAAATGACAGACCAATAATACCAGTTCCTAATACACTGACTACATATTTCCTGCATTATATGAATTTCAGTGTTTCCCTAGTTTATGATTATTAATTTGTATTACAGTAGTGTCTAGAGACCAAAACCAAGACTGTGACTCCTCTGTATGAGGTGTTGTATAGTCTTTGCCCCCGAAGAGTTTACAGTTTAAGCTTGGAATGCAGTCAAAGGATGAATAATAGAATTAATGTTTAAAATAGAAGTCAAAGTAATATTACAAATTTCTAATAAATGAAAATATCAATCAAGTAAAAGCTCACATTAAATCAAATGAATAACTGACTTCTAGAGACAAACAAATTCTTCACTAACTTGATAACCTATATTTGTTTATAGTATAACTTCACACTTTGAATCCACATCAGGGGATGTTGCATTGTGTTTGATTAGCTTTCAGTTTCTGGTTTGTACTTACACTGTGGCAGTGCTCAAAATGTGGTAGGTTGCTTTCCAAACACACATTAAAATATGGTCCCTGCTTTGAAGAGTGTGCAATCTAAAAAGACAAATGAAGGCCAGGGAAAGGAGATACCACATGCAAGCAAAGTTGTCTGGGTGATGATTGGCACATGTCATTTTAGTTGCATTTTTTTGTTTCTGTATATGGGAAGATTGTTGGAGAGACAAGAGGATTGATAAATAGAGCATGGATTTGATGTGCATAGGAATAAGAGGAATGATGGACAGCAGGGAAGTCTGAGACTAAGTGTGGGGAGACACAGCAAAATGGAGATGGGAAAATAGCGAGTGGGATAGTTTAGATGGGGTGGGGAGCATGGTGGCCAGAAAGTAAGGTCCTAATGCGAAGGGGGTTTGGTCAGAGAGAAGCAAGAGCAAAAAACAGTCAACAAAATGTGAAATTTGACTAGTTATATTTGAAGCGTCCAGTGAGGTCAGGAGGAGGAAGGGTAAGAAAGCCCTGCTAATGCTGCTGCTCCTCTTCTGAAGAGCTCTGGACTAATGTGGAGCCCCCATATGTTTGTTATGTGTGTGCTGCCACAAAATGGGAGCTGCTGAACCCCCCCCCCTCTATTGCAGTTGCCACCCTAGTCTCTCTTGCTCCCAGCAGGATCCAGTCCTTGACTAATAAAAGGCTCCTTGTCCCTGCTGTCCATCCTTGTCTCAGCAGGCACTTGAGGCGTGGCTTAATCTTGTGGCGATGCTGCCTGTCTTCCCTCACTACCAGCCCACCACTATGGTCTGTGGATTACAGTAAAAGTTAGGGCTACGTTCTCTTCTCAGTCCATAGTGGAATGTCATAGGGAAGTTTTGCACAGAGATCAGGGTAGTATGTGGCTTTTATGTAGTAAGTAAACTTTTAGTTATTATTTCTATTTGTTCAGTTCCTTGTTGTCACATTTGGTGCCATTGAGTGGGGAAAATATACTCCCCTTTTAGGATTATGGCTACTTCTGCCATTTGATTATCTTCCTTCCCCATTCTCCTTTTTTCAGTTTCTTTCCCTTTTTCTTTGTGTGATTCCTTTGGCCTTCCCTCTGTATTTTCTTCTCTGCAGCAACATTTTCCACACTATTTGGGTTTTGCTCCCAAAGATGGTCAACAATGAAATGTTTAATGTGGACAGTAACATTTCATTGAGTTTTAGCACTTGTCTCAATGAAATTAATGGCTGATGGGGATTCACAACTTCTCATCCTCATTTTTTCAAGTAGTCCATTGATTCAGGTGGACATGATAGCTTCTGTTACACTTGATTCATGTTTGGAAGATTTTCTTCACAACCATGAGGGCAAGAGTTTGTTTTTTTTTATTTAAATTAAATCTTAGATTATTAATATGCCTCTGGTTTCAAGTTTCAGATTTCAGTATGATCAATAAGGATCAAATCCAGTCAGAATTCCTTTAATCACATCAAGTAGTCTCTTAACAGTTGAATGCCTTACCCCTTATTCAGGCCAGACTCTAACTGAAGTTAATAAAAGATTGTCCTATGTAGTGAATATGAGAACAGTCCCGAAGAGTACTTGAAAGACCATGACATCAGTGTATATTGTACATACAATATGGGTTAGAGGGAGGAGAAAATAATGTGGAATAGTACTTTTAACAAGCAGATCTCCAAAATGACAAGTTTTGAAAAGTGGTGGTACTTGTGCATACTTTCTTTTATATAGCTCTTTACTATGCCATTATGTCTGTACAACTGAATAACATACCTTCCAAGATGTGGTAATGTACTGTAGTTGGGTCTTGCTGTCTCTGAAAACAGTTTTCAAAGCAGAAAGGTATGGATTAAAAGTGAAACAGTAATGCATGGAAGTAAGTGTGTGTGTATATTCTGGGAAAGATAGTTTTGCCGGAGTCACTTACATCTACAAAAGGAATTAAATTTAGAGTTATATATATGGAGATATACCTATCTCCTAGAGCTGGAAGGGACCCTGAAAGGTCATTGAGTCCAGCCCCCTGCCTTCACTAGCAGGACCAAGTACTGATTTTGCCCCAGATCCCTAAGTGACCCCCTCAAGGATTGAACTCACAACCCTGGGTTTAGCAGGCCAATGCTCAAACCACTGAGCTATACCTCCCCTGCCTTAACCTACCCTCTTTCCTTAACTCACTTTGTTGTACTTAGGCCTTTCAGGGGCGTGCCAAAAGGTTGGACGAAGCTATATATATTGTCTGTTCAGTGTTGCAATACTTCTTTTTCTAGGTGCTATGGGGTGAGTTTGTGATTGCTTGAGGATTGCTTTCCCCCCCCCCCCGAATTTCCTTGTTTTATTAATTTAAATCCAACTTTTTATACATTTAATTTATTGTAGTCATGTGGTTTAACACAGTGGTTCTCAATCTTTACAGACTACTGTACCCCTTCTAGGAGCCTGATTTGTCTTGTGTACCCCCAAGTGTCATCTCACTTAAAAACTACTTGCTTACAAAATCAGACATAAAAATATGAAAGTGTCACAGCACATTATTACTGAAAAATTGCTTACTTTCTCATTTTACCATATAAGTTTAAAATAAATACAGTACTTACATTTCAGCGTATAGTATATAGAGCAGTATAAACAAGTCATTGTCTGTATGAAAATTTAGTTTGTACTGACTTCGCTAGTGCTTTTTATATAGCCTGTTGTAAAACGAGGCAAATATCTAGATGAGTTGATGTACCCCTGGAAGACCTCTGTGTACTCCCAAAAGTACGTGTACCTCTGGTTGAGAACCACTGGTTTACCATATCTCATCTAATACAAAGGACAGGAAGACTTCATGATTTAACAGTCTTTACAATGTAGTAGCATCAGAAATGGATAGAGATTTTGAGTTGAGCCAGTGCTAGTGTAACCCACACACCTTCTGGGTGTGATATTCTGTCCCATCTAGTGGCACCAAGACCATTTAGAGAGAGTTAAATGAGTCTGCTCTACAGCCTTAGCTAAGAGGCTCACACACTACAGTTCCAAAGGTCCCAGGTTCAATCCTGCCCGCCCACGACCGGGGTCTGTTGGTGTTACAAGTGGGGGCACGTCCGGGATTTGAACTGGAAAGTCTCTGAAGCTCAGGACGCACTTCCTCAGCTAGGGGAAGTATGTAACCCACACACCTCCTGGGTGTGGTGTTCTGTCCCATCTGGTGGCACCAAGACCACTTAGAGAGATAAAATGAGTCTGTCGGCTGTTAAAATGAGTCTGTTACACTAGCTGCTGTGCATGCATACTACCAAGAGCTTTCCTTTTTTTTCTCTGAAACATCTTCCTTTTTGGTTAATGAAAGTGATGTAGTACATTCTTGAGGACTGTTGTCACAACTATATAACTAGCAGTTTTTCACAAATATACATCATGAGATATTTAATATGTTTAAAGTGAAGCGAACCTGTCAGTAGTATATATTACGATGGTAGATAAAGCAGTTGCATTTCTTTCATGCAAACCAGTATAATTTCATAGCTACTGGACTGATTAAGTGTATCTCTGTTTGTGATGTTTGATTCTTCTTTTGCTTTTTGGGGTTACAACTGGCAAACTTTGCCTTTCTAGGTGAGGGCATCCAACATCCTCTTAAGAATACCTCTAAATTGGTAAGGCTTGATAGACATATGTAATTATCTTTCTAGAAACAAAATGGGCACTTGAGTTCTAGGATACTGATAGATGCTCTTAAAATTGGGCTGTATTTAAAAAATCACTTGTTCTATTGAGTTAACATTTGTGATTGTTTCTCTGAAACATAAAAGCAGCCTCAGGTAGCCATTGCTTATGTCAAAATGCAAGGTTGTACCAAATGTGCTCTAAAGTTCAGACAAATACAATTGTCAAATAATTTAGGTGGAGAACAATTTTCTGTTTGCAATCTGGTATGTATAAGAAAGAACCTGTATGCTACAAGATTGATGTATGGGGAAGGATCTTCAGCTGGATGAGTTGAAATTGTATTTTGAAGAATGTTATATCTTCAAAACAAAGCATGATGCAACTTGAAACACCAGGCAAACAAGTTTCAGAGTGGTAGCCGTGTTAGTCTGTATCAGCAAAAAGAATGAGGAGTCCTTGTGGCACCTTAGAGACTAACAAATTTATTTGAGCATAAGCTTTCGTGGGCTAAAGCCCACTTCATCAGATGCATGCAGTGGAAAATACAGTAGGAAGATATATATGCATCTGATGAAGTGGGCTTTAGCCCACGAAAGCTTATGCTCAAATAAATTTTTTAGACTATAAAGGGGCCACATGTACTCCTCGTTCCTCAGGCAAAAACAGATGTTTGGATTACTTCTGATTCATGGCACCAGGAGATGTCCTGAGGAAGAGCCCAAAGCCTGAGAAGGACAGTGAATAGG